ACACCTTCAGTGGAGTGGTATGTTGAAGTGCATAATGTTTACAAACACCTTCAGTGGAGTAGTATGTTGAAGTGCATAATGTTTACAAATACCTTCTGTGGAGAGTACATGGGAGTGCCTAATGTTTACAGACACCTTCAGTGGAGTAGTATGTTGAAGTGCATAATGTTTACAAACACCTTCAGTGGAGTAGTATGTTGAAGTGCATAATGTTTACAAACACCTTCTGTGGAGCAGTACATTGAGCCTAAACAAAACATAAGTCTATCTGTCTCTCCATTATCTGGATATCTATTTCTAATTTATGAAACAAAAGATATTTTGTGTGTGAAATTTCTCGAGTTTAGAAAAAGATAATATATTAATTGACTGTAGCAACGTTTAACATATTTCCAATAAATAAAACAAACGACTTCAGAAATGTTTACGTCTTGCTACTACAGAAATATTACTAAACAATTTATATGATATAGTACTCACTTTTTACTACTTTGTATTTTTCTTCCTCTAAATCTAATTTTTTTGTTCTTTTGGTGGGTCAGCGGCAAGCTTATAGACTTACAACGCTAAAATCCGGTGCTCGATTCCCCGCAATGGACAGAGTACAGATAGCTCAATACGTAGCTATGCGTTAAAACAAACAAAGATTACTTGGTTTTAGAGATTAAATAATCTTCCTTTAGACAATAAAGTAATTGCACGTTTTTCAAGAATTAAAGTTATTATGGAACTAACGTTTTCAACATCCTTGACACCTTATGTATATGCGAGCTAAATAGCGCCATCAGAGACCCGTACAACTCAGGATTAGTCGTTCTTGATTTGAACTACTGACAAGAAGGAAAGCAGCCAGCCAGAAATACGCGCCTACACAGGGGATTTTTTTGGCTATTTGAACTGGACAAGAGATTAGATTCTCACTTTTGTAACTTTTCTGCAGATGAAAATCCCGAATATATCCTAAAACATCACGACTCTAACCTTGGACTCTTTAACCCGCAGCTTGATATTTCAGCCAACAGACACGCCTGGCCATGAAATTATTATGACTACAATATAATGTAATTGTAAACGCTGTGTTTCTGCATACACCACTCGAAATGATAACATTTGCAAAAACTATGCTACTTTATGTATCTATCGAGATTGTTCTGAACATTAGGCACTCCCATGTACTGCTCCACAGAAGGTGTTTGTAAACATTAGGCACTCCCATGTACTGCTCCACAGAAGGTGATTTGTAAACATTATGCACTTTAACATACTACTCCACTGAAGGTGTTTGTAAACATTAGGCACTCCCATGTACTGCTCCACTGAAGGTATTTGAAAACATTATGTACTTCAACATTCTACTCCACTGAAAGTGTTTGTAAACATTATGCACTTCAACATACTACTCCACTGAAGGTGTCTGTAAACATTAGGCACTCCCATGTACTGCTCCACAGAAGGTATTTGTAAACATTATGCACTTCAACGTTCTACTCCACTGAAAGTGTTTGTAAACATTGTGCACTTCAACATACTACTCCACTGAAAGTGTTTGTAAACATTAGGCACAACCCCAAACCCCAGAATTTAACTTTGTAAGTCCGTAAACATACCCCTGTCCCACGGGGGACACATAAAAATAAATATTGAGTATATAAAACTCACAGATCCCAAACAATAAAACTTTACACTTTGTTGCCAAAATGTATTTTCAAACATAACCAATTTACCGCGGTGGGCAGAACAACAGTGAGGCTCTGCTCGAAAAAAACAAGTGTAACTGGATAACTGCACATTGATTGTCTCACAAGTTTGTACGTTAAAGTAATACACATATATGTTTATGAACAGAAATGAGGCTACGTGAATTTTATTGGTAAAAGAGTAGCCCAAGAGTTGGAAGTGGGCGATGATGACTAGCTACCTTCCCTCTAGTTTTACACTGCTAAATTAGGTGTAGTTTTGCGCGAAATTTAAAAAACAAACAAACAAACTTGAGTTTTAACTGCGAAGCTTGATAACTGGTTACAACTGGACCTGTATTACACTCAAGTCGGGAGTGGCCTAATGTTAGTGTGCCTATACTGTAGAAATGAGTTAGCACTTTGGAGCTGAGGGCGTTCTCCACCAGCTGTGTTTCCTGTATTCTGTTCAGAACAAGGGACGCCTTTGCGTCGCTTTACGCGAATTCTCCAAAACCGAACCAACAGTTACTTGCTGGGTTCTAAGGTTATATGTTAGTGTTCAACAAATTATGTTCATTATTTTATAAGATTTAGTTGATGAATCTGACTTTCCATGTCACTCCCCGGGGGGTGCCCCTTTCTGTCTGTGTGTCCAATAATGCTTGGAGACGGCTTGAATGGGTAATGAAGAAAACTTTAATATAAGTTTAACGTAACAGCAAATGTACATTTCGACAAGGTTTTGTCCTCATCAGGTACAAGTAGTTTACACTGACACAGATATATATGTACAATATTGAACA